CCTTCCTCCCTGAATTCCTTCCTTCCTCCCTGAATTCCTTCCTTCCTTCCTTCCTTCCTTCCTTCCTCAAGGCATGCACCCTCTCAGTCAGTCAGTCAGTCATAGTGAATTGATGCCTCACTCGATCTCCTTTGCACTGAAGAGACCCGGACCCTGCCCAAACAGTTCCAAAAGCATATTTGACGGAGGCCATCGCTACTAGGTTGGAGGCCATCGCTTCTAGTGTGGAGGCCATCGCGGTTAGGTTGGAGGCCATCGCTATGGTTAACATGGCGTCGCCATGCTTGGGGTGCACCTCAGCGTGCTTCGCTCCATTCGTCACCCTCCAGAGTCGTTGCCTGCGACAGATTGGCAGGAGAACTCTTGGAAGGTGCAGAAGACGATTCACATGAGGCGGGTGGCTCTTCTCTTCATGGCTGAAATGGAACAACTGCTTCATCGCCTGAAATGGAAGGAAACCTGGGAGTTCCGAATTGTCCCGGAACTCTCCCAAACTTTCACTGACCTGCATCTTTGCATGGTCAGTCCCTTTCAGCTGCATGGAAAGCAGTCAGGTTTCATGATGCCGAGCGGCGCATCGCATTGGCCGTTGAGAAGGTGCTTGGCTGTGGGTGGGCAATTGGGTGATGCTGAGTGGTGGGATTGAGGAGAAAAGCGGTGCACCTTCATTCAGACTCAACAAAAAGACCTCCCCGGACGGCAGGGCATGGTTGAAACACATGAAGCACATCCAAGATGTCACAATCTCTGAAAGCTTCCGTGCAACCTGCTCAATTCATTTTTGAATGCACAGGGGTGATTTGATCGTGTTTGACCCACTGCCATATGCAAGAGGGATCTTCCGATCTTCTCGCCCGTGTGGCTTGCTTCTGTTTGTAATCTAAGATGTGCATGATTCAATTTATCAAGAGCGGCTTCCAAACATGTGACATGCGAACTCTTCTTCAAAGGAGGGATTTGAGTCTCAACGAGGACACTCTGATTCTCAACCTTGGGGTTCAGGGGTTCTCAAAGCACTTTAAAGGCTCTTAGGTTGGAGGCCATTGCCATTAGGTTGGAGGACTTTAGGATATACAAGTTATTTCGGGTGTCACTTCATGAGCCGTCCATGGTGTGGCACGCTTTTCTGCTAGCCATTGTGGCTGGAGCGGCCGGGGTCCTTCCGACCATGATGCATGTTCCATCCGGTACTGAAGCCCTACACCGCAGCTTGGAGAGGGCGGGAAGTGATGATACAAGGTCAAAAGATGGCCCCGTAAAGAGGTGTGGAGCTGAACTGAACAACTTGATGCCTCATTTGAAGAGTCAAATGAGAACATGCAAATGAGAAGATGCCTCTTTGTGAGTACTCCTCCTTTTCAAATGGCATTGTCAAGAGTTTGGTCAAGAACGAGCGGAACGGCGCATGAGTACTGGATTGCTCAACAGATCGATGCAGGTGTCCGATTCATTGGAGCGGAGGCAATCATGAGTGCAAAGACCTTGCAAAACACTGTGGCGATATATAGAAACTGTAAATGCAGTGATTGGCAAAACTCTGGAATGTTGCAGTCATTTTTGTTTCTTGGTGCAAGAAAAACATAGGGTCTTTGGAGTTCTTGCCTTCCAGCATCGTTGGCATTTGGTGGGTGAGAGAAAAACACATATTCCATGCGCATTGATCTCTCACCCATCGTTGGCATTTTCATGAGACCCTGAATTGCTATGAACCAGACAAAAGCTGTAGAGTCTAGAACTTTATCTAAAGATCAAACGGGTACAGGACTAATAGAGATCAAAGAAACAGGCCGGTGGGGAGAGTTTGTCTCTCAGCATTTTCGAAAGATGAATTAGTTCAACCACATTTAATCACACATATATATATATATATTAATTCAATATCATATAGAATCGATGAAGATCTCAGACATGTTGAATCGAGTGACGATGGATGGCCGTGGTGCCCATGGAAGGCCTCAGACACAAACTTCGGCGGCCCAAGACGGGGGGACTGACTCTACCATCGGATTTCCAGTGTAACAAAAAGGTGAGCTTGGTGGGCTTGCCCACTTGCTGAGACCAACCGTTGGAGTTCACGAGTCTTTTCGGTTGGCGTCACTTGCGGCAGCATGCACCTGAAAAGAGCCGAGGAGCCTTCAATGCTTCCTACGTTCAAATTGTAGCGGATGCACGCTTGGCCCTCCATGACGAGGAGCGGAGGTTCTTTTTTCACGCTGAGGCTGACTGGTTCGTGGTTTGGAAGTGTTTGGGAAGGATGACCATGGGGCAGCGGGTGGATTGAACATGCTTCAGAATGGTTGGGGCTTTGGAGCTCCAGGAGGGTTAGCATGCCAGGACTCCCGAGTTTCGTCAGTGGCAAAAGGACCAGATAAATCTGCTGTCGAGGTCTCTTCGCAGACATTACCAATTTTTCTAGTTGCAATGGCAGATTGCAAAGTCGGATGTTCTTTTCCTTCAAGAGTAGGAATTTTGGCACTCGATGCCGTGTCCTGCCTTTCGGTCTGGCCGCAGGATGCATCATACTGGTCTGGCCTCTATCGTTGTTTAGCTGTCGTCTACGGCGTCTATTTGATCTTGGCCTTGATGGACGTCAGAAAGACGCTGGGTGACGAAGACGAATCCAAGCGACTTCTTCTGCGACCGATGACATCGAAGTCACGACATCCTGACCTGCGACATGTACAGCCTGGAGATATCCAGTGATTGGATGTGATTGGTTATAACCACCCTTGACATCATCATGTGGCCTTGTTGGACACCATCATTTCTTCCCCGTTGGACATGTGGGTTGCATGGGTTTCATTAAACTTGGTGAAGATCTCCTTTCCCTCCCCCGTCGCTTGTCCCGTGATCGAAGCCGTACTGCCGTACTTCCACCACAAACGTACCACTCACCGCTGCCGCACCGCTCCCAGGATCGCTGAGAAATTGCAAACGACGGAGACTTGGCGGATGGAGTTCTCACTCACTCCATGGGACTTGGACGATCGACTCGCTCGAGCGAGAACCCCCCGAATGATTGACTCGGGCTGATCCGACAAACTGGAGAACCTCACTCCTACGAATTGGTACTCTTCGTGGCACCCTCCGATCGGTGGCGAGCTTCCCTCGGTCGACTCGAGGGTTGGCGGATGGAGTGTAGCAACATCTTTGGTTCACATTGGCAGAGACACAGACTCAGAGTTCGGCACGAGAGCCCCACGCCCAAATATTGCCATATGGCATGTTAGCTTGGGGACATGAAGAAGGGGTGACATGTTTGCACATGTGACACAGCCTTGATTCGTGCAGAGTTGGCGCTCACTTGCATCGCCCTTGCTTCAGGGTGCAGGTGCTTCCACCCCACCGTTCACCCACCGGAGCCGAGCCGAACGAAGAAGTGCACAGTCACATTGCTTCCACCTTCTCTGCGAATGATGGACATCTCAGCATCCAAAACCTTCAATGGGCCAGTTTACACCCATGGAATTTCGCTTGTTGCTTGCAGAAGCTGGTCTATCAATCCAGAGCAGTTTCTTATCAAGCAGTTGCTAGGGATTTGCCGCCAGGTCAACTAAACCAGGACCCCATGTTCAACAAGTGCCTACCTCTCATCAGCTACCTGAGGAGGACAAAGTAGATGAAACCCAGGAGGCAGAAGCGCAGAAGTTGGTGGCCGCGAGTGGTAGCACCTTGGTGGAGAGGTTCAACGGGGCCAGGCACCTCTTCCACCAAAACACCTCTTCCACCAAAACATGGAAGATAGAGGAATCTGTTCATTTTCGGTGGTCAACCAGGGTGCCTGGGTGCCGTGACCCACAGCCAAATAAGTGCAGGATTCACATGACAGGGTCAAAACCAGGCTACAAGACGCCCCTGATTAATCGAGTGAGGCTTGCTTGAGCCAGGGATGTATGTGGTCCACAGCACTGGTGGTTTTCGAGGCCCGCCCAGTCCCCTCACTGCGAGACACGCCATCGACTTGCATCAACCGGTTTGAAGGCGGAGAGGAGAACCTTATGGCTGTCCCATGAGCCCGAACCCCCCAATTTGGCATTTCCCGTGGCCATCTATTGGTGTCAATTTCCAGTTCTTCAACATTGGAGCCTATTTTCAACTCTCAGTGGGCTTGCTGCGGGATTTTGTTTCTTGACGGGGGTGCATAGATGTCTGTCACTCACAATGATTCTTGAAGCCGCCAAGAGGAAGGTAGGGTAACCAGATGTAACCAGTTGCCCTGATTTGCTGGTTCCCGCCCCACCATCGCCCACCTAGCATGACTGCGGTTGAGATGGCTTTTCCACAATGATCCGCACACAGATGGACAGGATTTCCACAAGATCTTTCCTGCCTCTGCTTGGACCATCCCGGAATTTTGTCTGTTTGATTGTGTGACCTCGGTCGGCCCAACTCAGGTCCTTCGCCCTCCAATTCAGGGCAGTCCCCGTCGCAGTCGCCGACCTTGGGCCAGGGGGCCCCTCGGCCGGAACCCGCAAATCAGAGCACATCTCGTTGTGGCTTCGGGGTGGCTTCGGCGTCCAACGACGGACGCCTCGGCCGGGTCGACTTGTTCGCTCGCTCGACAGGAGCCGGGGGTTGTATATTAAAGTAAGCTGCGACGGGAGCGGAAGTGATTCTGAAGAGCCTTTGGGAGCATGTGGCTTTCAGGCACAGCCACGCTGTGAAGAATTCGTATCGCTCTTTGGACATGCGAACGGCATTCTTGCTGCTAGAGTTGAAGGTTTAAGACACTTCACATGTTCTGAACAGGCACCCCAGCATGTTTGTGCACAAGGTCGTAGTTTATTGGCAATCATTGGCTGTGAGATCATCAACAGAAGCCACCCAACCGACGGCCGTTGTTAGACCTCCATCTGCCCTCCTCTCCCGGCCCAGCCTGAGGGCAGCTGGTCGCCCTTCAGCGTGAGCTGCTTGTTAGCGTATCGCCTCTACACCGGCTTCAGCCCCTCGGCCGTCGGTCGGTCTCTCGGACCGAGATCGTTCCGTTCCCCGCCCTTCACCCACCAGTGACCTTAGGTTGAAGCCTTACAATGAAGGGGCCAAGCCTTCACAGCAAATCTGCTACATGTGCCATGTGCATTGTCATTTTTGAGTATGTATGACCTACTATGTCATCACAATATCTTGTAGCAAGGACGCTACTAGGGGCTCCTGGCATCGCTACTAGGAACAAGAAGCTACTAGGGGCTCCTGGCCTTATTACTAGGA